ACTTCAATCAACTCTTCATTGCTTGCAAGCATTACCAGGCGAGAACTGAGATTGCGCACTGCAGCTCCTGGATGAAGTCGTGCGGATATCTGCTTTGCTCTCAATCTTAGCTCAGCTTCCGAGCAGCTTTGTGGTGAGAAAGGCAATGCGATCTCCAGAAACACGGCTTGCAAGACGCGCACATACGTCCCGAGGTCAAGCGTGTCGGCATAAGGATGCCGGGCAAGATTTTGGTAACTCATCTTGGACGGGAGCTCGAACCTGTCGTCCGAGATCACAGGTGATATAAAGCAGGTGGCTATGAATCGAGCCTGAAGCAGCCATTCCGCAATTTTGCTCGATTCAAGACAACCCCCAGTGCACACCAGAATTAAGTGTAGTACATCCACCTTCGTTGGGCCCACTCTGTCTTCAGCACTGAGCACCACAGGTACAGATGAATGCATCATCTCGCGAGCCGTCAACTCTGCTAGGATATAAGCAGTTGCTGTAGCCTCCATATTCTCGGGGTCAGCTAATACAAGACAACCGTTGTCGAAGGTCTGCTGGGAGCTTCGGAGAGCCGCGCGGGTCTCTGTCAAAGAGGAGACAACATGCTGCAGTACCTGCTTGCTCAAATAGCTCGGCAGCGAGATTGTCTCAACAGATCCCAGCCATCGCAAGGTGTCCTTGACTTCCTTCATTCCGAAGCCATAACTTGCAAAATCACCCAAATCGGGCACCAGGCTGTCATACGCAAGTAAGAAAGCGTCATCAGGCTGGGAAAAGCTCGGCAGCTTGAGCAGGATGGTCGGCACTTTGTGCAACCTTGCTACTACTAGCTCACCGACACACCTGGGATGTTGAAGACAGCCACAGGCTCTCAATTCCAGCTTCCTATGCAGGACATACTCTTCCAAAATTAAAACATGCTCAAGAGCTGCCTAGCCACCATGTTCGCTTCAAGACATCAGGAGTGCCGAATAGAACCAATTTCTCCACGTCGTGACTAACATACGAGAACAGCTTGCTCAAGTCAGACAGGTCGTCCACATCGATAAAGGAAGTAAAGCTCGAGCTCCGGCGAAGCAGCTCAATCTTTAGTAGGCGTGCAAAGCTGCCTGCTGCTTTCTTATGGTGACATAGGAAGAAATGGAACGGCTTGCGCTGAACGAGAAAGTGCTGCCAGACGGCAGATGCGGCCAGCACGATGGCTGCCAGCACCATGAATGATGTCATTACGGAACAGATCACCATGGCAACTCTGTTGTCCACGGGTGGCGTGAAAAGAGTGCCCATATCCAGAACCAGAAGCAATCCCGCATGAATAAACAAGTCAAGGTACGTCGAATGAAGCATCCGCCAAGGTCTACCGAAGGCCACCAGGAAAAAGCTGCCATACAGCAGCAAATTCAGGAACACGAGGCCCCCCGACATTGATGGAAGCAAGGGGGAGATGACAATAAGCACGTTCCGGAATAGGAAAATTGCACAAAAATGCTCACATCCTGGCCGAAACCTCATGAAGAGGAAGGAGCAGGACCTTATGAACTTCATATCGCCCCTGTGTAGGCGCCTTGGCAACTCCATCCAGAGTATCCATGCACATAGCACCAGGAAGGACAGCGGAAACAAAAATACTACCCCACCAAGGAGACAGAGATGCAGATGCATGCCAACGAAGTCGCAGTGCACGTTGTGATAAGTTCTCACTGTGCGCACTCCGCTGGGATGCTCATTGCAGCGAAAGGGCTCCAGCAGCGAGCTGCAGAAGGTGATAAAAAACAGAATCACAAGTACACCAAGCGTTCTCCAGAGCATGTACGTCCTCGCATGTCTCCTTCTTTTGCGCATTCTGCGGTAGATGTGGATCAATAGCGGTCCCAGCGCTGCGAGCAAGGGCACGCCCAAAGTCTCCATGGAGAGTTGCAGTATCGGCGTCAGCTCAGCCACACAGTCAAAATAGGTCAACGTGGAGAGAAGCACGTCAAGAGAAAGTATGTCTAACGCTTGCAGAAACCAAGTGAAGGGCTCCTGAGACTCAAGCACGTGCAGGTACATAATTAGAGACATCTTTACACTGAAACCCGACAAGTGACAATACAACAATCTAACTCCCTTCAAGGCTGGCCTAGGCTCCCCCCACTCGATGTCAAGTTGGTGAATGACAGACAACACCTGTGCGCAGGTAACCAGCTGGCTTAAGCTGAGCGAGGCAACGAGTAGGCGACCATCCTGCTTTCCATCGCGACCCGCATTGAGGACAGCATGGAAAACTCCGGTTCCTCCAAACAGCACCAATCCTCCCGCGAGCAACAAGGCATAGTCACCTCGCCACAGGGAAGCACGAGACATGACAGGAATTCCGGCGGTTTGGGGGCAGCTGAGGCCAGGCCGCCAGGCCTGAGGCGCATGAAGCGCATTCGCCAGATTGTGTGGCACGCAGACGATGCGCACAGCTGCCGCAAGCCAGGCTGCCAGCATCCCTTCCTTTTGCACAAGTTCCAGGGGCCCCTCCTGGACATCTCAACGAGTTTCCATAGCACTTGAAGACCTGACCTGGCTCGTTAACGAGCGAAGCATATCCTGGAAGAAGTTCCAAGTTGCCAGAGCCAGGGCAGCGTGTTCCCACGCTGCACATCTCACAGCGGCCTTCATGAAGGTGAGAACCCTCTCTGCAGTTACACATTGCTTGTGAAGTCGCCCCAGCCACTTCGACCCACTTCTCTACTTTTTCTCTTAGTAAAGGTCGGCTTGTGGTCCAGAAATCGTCATTTCCACAGATGTGACACGCGGTCGAGCCGCTGACGTTGGCAAAGGTGCCGAGGTCACATGGGATGCATTCCGCCATGCCAGTTCGATCACTGAAGCTTCCAGGCTCGCACCTTTGACAAAGCAGGGCACCAGACTCTCGCTGTGATCTACCGGCCGGGCACGACCTGCAACGGTAAGTCTCTCCAATCCCGTCGACAAGGCTCTCCGAGAAGCTTCCAGGAGGACAAATGCTGCAGGACACGGCCCCGTCACGAGAGGCAAGGTGACGTGTCTGTGAATCTTCCACGCCAAACCCGGCGATGCAGGTCGTGTCGACTGGCACCCATGATTGCCAGATAGCTCTGTTGTCTTTGACCCATTGACAAGCAACCTCAACCAGAGGCTTTCCACTGGCCACATTGGCCAGCTGCTCTTGCATCTCCAGAAGCTCGAATCGCCTGGGGGCACAAACACAACTCGGAGTGTTCTTAAAGGCTTGTGTACCAGCCCCTCCCCCTCCCCCTCTGTCTCTCAACAAGAGAAGTCTTTCTCGTTGTGTCGAGGCGCAGGTTCTGAAAGAACTGGCGCAGCTTGGGAGCCGTGGAGCGCAAGCTTGGCTTCACGAGCTTGCCGATGTAGGATCCTTCTGCCGCTGTTCTTAAATTGCCCCTGGCCCACTCGCTTGCCCTGTAGCGGGGCAAGACAATGGCAGAAGGATGCAGAAGAGTGAAGGCAGCATCTGGAACCCACCAGTAAAATAAGATGCGCAAGTTGGTAACATACCACGTGTACACGCCAAAGTCTCCTGCAACCCCGATCGCTGCCGGAATTCCGTAAGTGGCCGACCTGAAGCATACGTAATAACCAGCGCACAAACTGCGAAAGGGCTACTGGCGGATAATTTCCGAGCCTCAAGCTCTGTAGGCCTACGCCTGGACAAAGGTTGAAATGTCTAGCAGAGCTTCTAGCTCATCAACTACTATTCTCAACCCTGGATTGAATCGCACCAGGCGAGGCATGACGTCATGTAAGAGTGTAGATCAGACATGTGGATGCCACATTGCAGCTCATGTACCGATGTACCTCACGCTGATACTACTCCCACTTTGGTCCACGCAGCAAAAACAAAGCTAAAGTCGGGGCAACTGTAGCTGAAGTTGCAGGCATTCTTAGCAAGTGGTCTGTGCCAACTTCTGACCAGGCCACCACTGCATGAAGGCATTGATGCGCCAGCCATTGCCCGCAGATAGAACTGGAATGCACGCAGAAGTGTTGTGACGGCAGGCTGGGCTGATCCAGAAATACGCATCAGGACACGTCGCCACAAAATGCCCCTCGTCGCTCTCATTGACCCAAGAAACTCCTTCTAGATCCCCGGTCCAGTGAGCATACATGGCCATCAATGGTCCATTGTTGAACTCGAGATCTGTTCGATTGCACGGGACAAGGTCCGCAAGCGACAAATCGGACACATGATCAAAGTACTTCTTCGGATCATGGAAGGACGTATTATAACTCTTGTAAAACTCCAGGGCCAGGCCAGAATCGCGGTAAGCTGCATCCTGAACACTTGCAGTCAGGAACAGATGCTCCTCTCCTGCATATCCAATAGAACCAAGGTCTTCTGGAGCGAGCTCGGGGTTGGCCTTCTGGAATGCGGCGTACCCAGTGGGTGATGAACCCAACCAGCTTTCAAGTGCAGCGTGATTCTGTTCACCCACACATTCTATGCCTCCGGTGTCCCGGCACTCAGACAACAGCCAGATTCCATCAGTGACGTCCACTGCGACGTCTGCGCTGACCTGCGAATGAATTCCCAAGGCTTCGCGGACAAGGATAGCTGCAATGTTTGTCACTAGCTTGGACGAGTCCCAGTCATAGGACACCAAGCCGACAGAAGAGTTGCGTCCGGAGAGGCTCGGAACAAAACCCCTTCTGTGGAGGGCAATTGCATCATGCAAGCACTGGGCCTCCGAGCTTTCATTGAAAACATATGCCGCGGCACAGGCTGCAGTCAACCAGAAAGCTGCAAAGCATCTGCGGCGGAGCATCGATACCCAGCACGGCTTCGCCGTGGGGAGCGCTCCTGTTAAAGGGTAGCTTGGGCCGCAACAGAAGACACAGAAGAAGCTCCGGTTCGCCGCTTCAAATCCCAGAGGAGCAGGGGTAGGTCACTCCCAAAGATGTTTGAATTGCCTTACCTGCCTTTCCACATTTCTACCCTGAGGGAGGAACTGGCACCAGAGAGACTGGGCTCGACAATCTCGACTCGACGGCTGCACGACTTTTGCCTCGCTTACTCTCGAAAGGTTTGAATCATGCGCTCTCAGTCCGACACTTGCTTCGACAAGCTAGCAACCGAACTTGATCGTCAACTTGAAGACTCCTCTGCTGACAGTACAATATTCAAAGGAGGAGCATTCCGAAGGTGCTGATCTTGTTGCAGGAAGGGGGCACTGGGTGCATGTTTGTTGTTTTCGTCGTCACGGTCCACCAACCAGCGCTGTACAACGTGACGCAGCTCTAGAGTGAACTCAGGTCTGTACAGATTTCGAGCAGCACAAGCAAAGCCGCAAAGCTGCTCAGATTTGCCGAGTGTGAGACCTGGTGAAGCAAACGCATAGCCAACCGAAAATGCCGGTCCAAAAATCCGTTTCTGGAGTGCTCTCTGCCTGGGCAGAGGCTTTCGGCAGGGGTTCTTCCCTAGATCCCTTGATTACCCATTTGGCCGCCTTTGTTTTTGCAGCCTGGATCTCGGGGCTGCGGAATGCCTCTGGGCTGGTGCCATCGGACGTGATCTGCAGCATCTGTTCAAGATGGCTGAGCCTTGGAGCTTCCAGGTAATCAAAGTGCGCACCAGCATACCATGCACGCACTGCCTTTCGGCTGCGGAGATCTGCCTGTCGAATAGGCTCCGGAGCTGCACGATCATGGCATAGCTGGGAAGTCAGCGCCACTGCTGTTTCCAAGCTCAGCCGATGCCCGGGGCTCACCACCAGACATCGGCTTCCCTTCGTCTTTAGCAGGGCTGCGACAGAGCAAAGAGGAGCCCACTCTCGTGGACGATGCAGGGTTTGAGCCAAGCGCCTAGCCACAGATGAGTTGACTTCACCCACTTTCAAAACGTCCTTTGCAACACCAATCGTTGGCAAGCCGATTGAAATCCCAAGATGGGTAGCAGCACCACACCGGCGAGGATGGAAAGCACCGTTGCCATCTACAAGGACCACTTGTGGAAGAGCATGCTTGGGGACATCTTTGAACATCTGGCTCAGGGCGGGCACTTCGCGCATGGCCAGAAACCCCGGCACATATGGAACCGTCAGCCGAAAGGCTGCACTGCGCTCGTAAACCACCGTTAAGCTGGGAAAATCGAGCACTACGATAGCCGCGATGGCATAAGTTCCATCTGCGAAGAAAGACACGTCCACACCGCCAACTCGTGAAAGACCTGGGAAGTCACCGTGCTGGCCGGCCTCCCAATCCAAGCAGTCCTCCTCTACTCGTAGCTTTGCAAGTGCCACCTGCTCGGCTGTCCAGCTTGCCTTCTGCTCCCGCGAAACCATTGCAATCTATTGCGGGCGGGATATGTTTGCAGATTGAGCTGCACCGAGCCGAAGCCTGATCACCCTTCCTTCCTTGAGCACGTCACTACACTGCGCCCGTCTGTGGCAACATGACCAGACACAGTGTTTTTCTCTGCAAGTTCGTCTCACCACGAGTCGTGAAACATCTTTTGTCAAGGGCGGGCAGGCCCCATCTGCAACTCCGGGGGTAGAAGAGACAGATCCAGGCCCTTGTACTCCACCTTACAGCTCATGTCTCTCTCGCCTTTGCACATGGGAACAGAGTTGCAGCCCCTCCTCCGGCAGGCTAAGCCCCGCACGAAGTACTGTGCTGCATCACTTCGCGAAGCCTCCCTTCCTGCACTTAAGCTTTCACGCCTGATGCATGCATGGCCACTGCCATTCGCGACCTGTTCCGCGACTTGACTAGTCGAAACCTGCTGCCAAGTCTCGCTTGGAGGCTCTCGGCGAGATGTTGGCACCTGCCTTGTGGCATCTGGGTTGCCATGTGGCTCGTCGTCTATGTCGAACTGCTCTTCATAGCACTGTTACGATCCCGATGTTCACACTTTCCAGACATGTGTTAATCCTTCAATGCCGCTTGTAAATAGCAGCTTGCATCACAAGACGGGCCCGACAGCCCTTTGGCGGGTGCCTCGGCATTGCGCTCAGCGGCGCGTCGGCGGACTGCTGTCAGAGGCCCTGCGCAAACGGATGTGTGCAAGCAAGACCGTAGGCTGTACGACAGGCCTACGCCCTCCTCTGCCAAGCCGGCGAAAGAGTCAGCAACAGCCGACTGTGCCTTCAGCTACAAGCGGTTGCGAAAAAAAATCCAATGCGGAAATGTGGGCTTGCTCTCCACGCTGTGCTCCTCGCTTCTCTGACCCAGCCGGTGAAGTTGCCGAAAAGCTGCTGTGCTCCTCGCACAGTCCTCGCCTCATGGGCATGGCAGCTGCCAGCTCCACTATTACGCATCACCGTCTGAGAGTGCAGGCGGCAGTTTCTTGTAGTGCCTGAGCATCGATTACCTCCTTCCTCAGCTGAATCACTGCTCGTCGTTACTTCATTTCCCTTTGACATGTGTAAAGTGTAAACAGCTGTTCAGAGGTCATCTGCACCATTTTACACGACCTTTATCGCACGGTGCAGTGGCTCCGACACAGCGAGACCTTGTCCTACTGTCCGCATTCGGATTGTGGACGCACAGCTGCCACATGTCATGTTTATTGTACGAATGCTTCGAACTTATGGTTCGCTCTCTTGCAGCAGTCCGAAAACAGTCTCAGGCCAAGCGACGTTGCCCGCTCACCCTTCACATCCATGGGCGAGGCAGATGCCTGCAAAGCCACAGGCGTTTTAGCTTCTCTCGTACATCATAGCATCAACGCTTTGTGAATCGACCGTGCTGTACCTGAAGTGAGTTGAACAGCCCCTGCTGGAATGCTGTCAACGAGGAAGGCGCCAACAAGGAAGCTTCCCATTACTTTTCGGCCGAAGGCCGAGATTGGTGCCTCTCTCAGCTCGCCAGCGACACGCCGTTGTGTTTTTACAATAACAGAGCACCTCATCACAGCTTCTTGAAACCAACTCTAACCGTTTTTTGTATCGCCTCGGTTCAGCCTCATGGCACCAACGTGTCATGTGCTGGTTACATGTGCCATTTTTCTACGATTGCTGCGTGCTGGGCATGCTACAAAAAGATGGCGGCAACAGCCGGTGTTCGAGAGGCTGCGATGCCGTGTGTTTAATGGCCTCGGCTGCTGCCCCACGACCTGGCATGTGGTCCACACCTGGCACAGTTCGGCGCAGTCACTGGCCGGCCTTGTTCGGGCTACGGACTCTCGGGACGCTGCTTTCTGGACAAAGGTCGACGTGTCGCCGCTCCTATGGCTGTGAAACAGCGTGTGAGGAAGCCCTCCATCGACTCGAATAGCGAAGCCGGTCTGAATTCAAGACGTTGGCCTGCGTCGCATGGCAAGTTCTGTCCCACTCTGCTACGAAAGATTGAGCCACAGTGCCACAGTAAGGCGGACAAGCACGAGCGTTGGAAAGAAGCCCAATCTTGTAGCATTAACAGACCAAGTCTCGGGAGCAAGGGCAGGAAACCAAAGCTCGATGAACCAAGCTGTAGCGAAGGAAATGTCGGCAGAAGTACTTCGAACTGTTAACAGGGCAACAGTCTAATAAGCCTTACCGGCTAACAGCTCCAGGCCAGCCAGGCTGTCTCACGAAAAGCTTTCATAACAGGAACATCAACAAAACAACAAGACAGTGGTCGTGCTACCATCGGCAAATTCAACACGGGCAAAACACCACAACGAGACAGGAAACAACAACCAACAAGAAACAGTGACAACAAGCAAGCCAATGGCAGCGAATGTCGGCAGTCGAGCGCCAAACCTTCTTTCCGCCATTTCCTACGGTTGACCACCAATTTCGCCCGTGACAAGTAGTTGATCAAGCCATTTGAAGCCGACAGATCCGAAACCAACACGACTTGTGAACACCGCCACACCTACTACTGCTACTACTACCACTGCAACCACGACCACTGCCACTACTACTACTGCTTCTGCTACTACTACCACTACTCCTACTACTCCTACGACTCCTACGACTCCTACTACTCCTACTACTCCTACTACTCCTACTACTCCTACTAGTCCTACTACTCCTACTACTCCTACTACTACTACTACTACTACTACTAGTACCACTACTACCACTACTACTACTACTACTACTACTACTACTACTACTACTACTACTGCTACTACTACTACTACTACTACTACTACTACTACTACTACTACTACTACTAGTACTACTACTAGTACTACTACTACTACTACTACTACTACTACTACTACTACTACTACTACTATTACTACTACTACTACTACTACTACTACTACTACTACTACTACGACTACTACGACTACTACTACTGCGGCTACTGCTACTGCTACTTCTACTGCAAGAACACAAGGGCGGACGTTGGCGTTACAGACCACAGTGTTCCTGACATGGGAAAAACTACAATACAAAGATACAGCAAAATCAAGGATGGACGTTGACATTACACCTTTGCAATATGCTTGAAATTTACAAAGTCTACCGTACAAAGATACAAAACCATCAAATGCGGACGTTGGCAATACAAACTTACGGTGCGCTTGAAAATTGCAGAGTCTACCATACAAAGACAGAAAAGTTCAAGGGTGGACGTTGTTGGCGTTACAAACTCAGGGTGTGAATTGCAGTTTGCAAAGTCTACCGTACAAAGATACACAAATCCAAGGATGGACGGTAGCATCACAAACTTACAGTGTCCTTGATATTTGCAAAGTCTAACATGCAAAGATACACAATTTCAAGGGTGGACGCTGGCGTTACAAACTTAAAATGTCCTTGAAACTTGCAACGTCTATGATACAAAGATGCAGAAATTAAGGGGTGGACGTTGGCGTTACGAACTTACAATGTCCTTGAAATTTGCAAAGTTTAGTTGGCGGCACAAAGATACACAAATTCAAGGGTGGACGTTGGCGTCACAACTTACAGTGTTCTTCAAATTCTACCATACAAAGATACAACAACTCAAAGCTGGACGTTGGCGTGTGTCCGTGAAATGTGCAAACTCCACCGTACAAAGATATACAAAAAATCAAGGTGGACGTTGGCGTTGCAAACGTAGAAATTCCGTGATATGTGCTCTGGTTACCATGCGAAGATACAATGAGTCAAGAGTCAAAGTCTACCATACATTACCATACAAAAATACAACAAATCCAGGGTGGACGTTAGCGTTACAAACTTACAGTGCCCTTGAAATTTGCAGAGTCTACCATACAAAAATTTAAAGGCGTACATGGTCCTTGATATTTGCGCAGTCTACCATACAAAAACACAAAATTTCAAGGGTGGACGTTGGCGTTGCCAACTTGCGGTGTCTCAGAAATTTGCAACGTCTACCATACAAAGGTGAACAACATCAACGGTGGACGTTGTCGTTACAAACTTGCAGTGTCCCCGAAATCTGCAGAGTCTACCATGCGAAGATTCAGGCATACCGACCAGGCAGTGCACCGGCCAACCGAAATGTCAGTGATCAGCCTTAGCAGCTGATTGCGATGCCAGGAAGAGCCACGTTACCTCACAAGCACGTGCCATGATTGAAGCATGGTTTAGGAATGTAAGGAAGGGCTCTTCTGACATCTGATCTGAGAACAAAAGTGCCCAGGTGCACCACAGCTTGGGAATACTGGAGATTATGTCCGCTTTGTGTCAAGGATAACAGCAGACACGCCGCTAAAGCAGCGCTTGCTCATCCCATTCACTTCTGCCTTCGCCGCGTCACAAGACAAGCAAGTAGGCAAGACATCCAAACTGCCAGGCGATGCCGTGAGCTATGGGCAAAACATCCCTCGAAGTTCTGATCTCGCAAAAGCCTGCTTGTCCAAGCCGTTGTGCAAAAGCTCAGTGCTGCGTCAACCCAAGAGTGGGTGTTGCCTACCACAGACACGCCACATAGACTGTGCCGCATACATGTTGCCTGTGCACCATGCAGATCGCAAAAGGAGCATCTCCAGCCTGCTCAACAAAGGTAGCCACCTCAAACCGTTGCATCGGATACAGCTGTGAGCATAGAATGGAAACAGCAGAAAGAAAGGATGCCCATCACCGAACTTCGGCCGAAAGGTGCATGGCAATGCCCATTGCAGCAGGATGGGAACAATGAGTTCCGAGGCCCGAACGGAGGGCGGAGGCGGCACCAAACCCGCAAGGTAGTCCAGAGCCGAAAGAAAAGACAGCAAAGTGCACCCCAGCTCTCCCTCCTCTCCCTCTCATTTTTTCCAACCCTCTCCGACGCCCGCACTCGGCAGGTCAGCACACACTGATGGCCACGCCTCTTGGAGACAGGCTCAAGCAGCTAGCTGGTGCCACGGGAGGCCGGGGATCCAAAGAAAGAGTGGAGCAGCTAGACCAGGTGTCTAGTAGTTCAAGACAGGCTCATACCAGCGATATCAGTCAGCGCACGTCACCCGTCGACGAGAGCAGCTTCGCAACCAGGAGCAATGCCAGCAGGAGGCCATAGAGCTCAGCAGCGTCTCCCTCTCATAAGACTTGAAATTTCAACTGTCTACCCTAAACATCCTAAACATCAAGCCATAGCCCTGCCCACAAGCCCGACAGCCACACATCTCAAAACCCTGCTATATGCGCTGCGCAGTTTGCCTCCTGCATGGCTTGGACGCGAAGCAGGGTAATATGTGACAGAGTATGTGAATTCTCATCCTGATTCAATCAGGGACTGATATTGCCTGTGTCATTGTCCAGGCTAGTATCAGTTCTTGCAACAGCTCTTCCTTCAAAGTTGAGCAGGGAAATCCCAAGTACATCAAGTACTGTCGGCATTCACTTTGTGAGATTCATCCATCAAGGACTGTTGACTAATTTTTCATTGTCATCCATCAAGGACAATCGCCAAAATTTGCATTCAGGGCAAAATGCCATCTAATTAACTTTGTCACTACATCTTCCACTCAGTCAAACTGTGCAGGGACTGCATCTAATTAAGATTCAGCTTTAGATCCGTTCACAACTCTGCATGCTAACGTTGCAGTCCACAGGGCAGCAAGTGTTCTGGAAAATACGCAAAGCGTATCTTTCATAACACAGGCATGAAGGCCAACGAGGTAGTCCACTTTGATAGCAAGTGTTGTGGAAGATACACCGCAATGTATCTCCCAAAACACAGCCATGAGGGGTCACCAGCGCCATTGCTCTTCTTCTCTCTTCTTTGAGAATGAAGGGTGCGTTGCCCGACCCCTATGCGAGCGCAACATACCCAACGTTCATGTATCGACTGCCAGGTTGTCCAGGTGGGAAGATAGGTCAGTAGAGGCAGCAGAGGCAGCATCTGAATGTACACACTGTCAGGTGCCTCCACAAGGGCACCCAGCAATTGTCAATCCAGGGGTTCGTGTCAATGCATCAGCTGTCCACATTCTGTTATGCCCAAATTCCACTCCAGCAGGTTTTCGAACGCATCATGGTATGTGATCCACCGCTCAGTCAAGTGCAATAATCACACGTTTCATTCGCTCACCAGGGAAAAGCCACAATACCGTGCGGTTCTGCAATGGCACCAGGACGTTGTGTCGACAGAATGGCCAGTTTTGACAGCCTGTTCCCATCCAGCACACGCGGTCGCAGGGTAAGGAAGCCATGTGAAAGTAGGGAGGTTTTTTTTTTTTTTTTTGGGTGGGGGCTTTCACTTAGCAAGATACCGGACCAATTGGGTGCTAAGGTTCAGGGCTTCAGGACGACACGTAGAGCAAGTACCGACTTATAGCGAGGTTTGGAGGTTGTTGAGAGCAAGGGATTTGTGGGTTCAACAAATGATCGACCGGTCCGTTGTTCGTGATGGTGTGTGGGAGCAAAGCAGGTGGTACATGAAATCACCTGCAGCATCATCCATTCGTCAAAGTTCAGCCTAATTACAAATTACAAATTACAAATTCAGTGTTGCAGCGACTAAATCGCATTGATTATCATGCAATGCACAGTTGAATTATTTGCAGACAATTGCATGGGGCATATACGATTATGGTGGTTGGCCTACTCCCTCTATGAAGTAACCGGAAAAGGCATTTAATACAACCCCAATGGGAGTGTCATGGTGTCTGCAAATTCTTCAGACCTGTAAGGGCTTTGTTGTGCATCAGGGTTGAGGCTTCAACAAACTCACTAGCGCAGTTTGGAGTCATGAGTTTGGGATTTTGGGGGCGTTGGGTATATATGCACATATATGATATATACATAATCGTTTATTTGCCTCTTATTTAATTATGTTCCTCATTTCCCATTTTGTCTGCCGTGGTTCTCGTTTGTGTTCTCATCTATGAATCTATAATAATCGTTCATATTTCCTACTTTTTTCCATGTGTATCCCAATTCTGTGTTTGTTTATGCCCATGTGCTTTTCTACTGTCAGTTTTCCCTTTTTATTGCCGTCAACTTGCGATGCTGATTGCATTTGCTACGTTGGGAGAATGCACACGTTCAATTCCTATGTTTACACCGATCTAAACTCAATAAGCAGACTGCCAGCCTATCTGCTGAGCGCCCATTACGGAACATCTCACTCTGGGCCCTTTCAGAACCGCTATGCACTCCCGGCATCTGTGAAGTGACGCCTCGCTGCAAAGGCTCTCGTAGGCAGCAACTATCTGTTTGAAGTCTTTTTCTGCCTCCAACGTCCTGCCGAATTGCCCAAATCATAGCACGTTTGAATACACCCGACCATACCTGACTGGGCCGCAAGTGCGCTGCGTCCTGTGCAAGTTCTTATCGGGATGGGAGCGCAGGGCCAGCTTTCTGTAAGCCTACACAGGAAGTTTCGGAGTTGATGGTGCGCTGAAAGCAACCAGCTTTCCTGCACGGGAAGACCCAGCACCGCGTAGCTGCAAGCCGATGCCATGTAGCCGGATGGGACTGGTGTGCACTTTCACTTGCACCTGTGTCAGGCTCTTGATATTCTGAAAGCTCTTGATGTTTTGAGTCCAAGTGTGTCCTGATCTTACACGTATCGGGCGTGGCTGCTTCGCTTGAGCCCGTCTTCGTAGCGGATCGGGGAGACACGAATCGTTCCTCGAAGGTGGTCGGCGATATTCGGTGGATCATGAACCTAGGAGCGCGGGCAGGAGTCTTGGGAGCCAGGGCCAGAAACCAAAGCCCAACGCATGAGCCATCAAGTAGTAGCCAAGGACGAGTCGGCAGATGCAGTTCGAAGTGTTGACAGAGCAACAGTAACTTTTAACAGTCCAAGCCAGCCGTACAGGCACACAGCTCCACACTAGCAAAGCTGTCTCACAAAAGGGTTTCATAACAGGAACATCAAAAAAGAAAGCGGCCTTTTCGAGCAACATCTACAATCTACAAGTTCAGCGTGGCATAACGCCACACCACGACGGGAAACAACAGCTAGCAAGAAAGAGTGACAACAAGTAAGCCCGTGGCAGCGAATGTCGGCAGTTGAATACCAAACCTTCTTTCTGCCATTTCTACGGTTGACCAGCAAAAATTTTGCCAATAACAAATAGTTGTCGTAGAAACACAATGCCGGTAACTCCAGCTGACAGAGCAGAGCACAGCAGCAGCTTCAGCAACAGTTGCTGCTGCTGCGGCTACGTCTACCATACTGCCACTACTACCACTACTGACTACTACCACTACCGCCACCGGTACCGCTACTGCTACCGCTACTGCGACCAGCGCCAGTCAAAGCGACAGCGACCGCACCGCAGCAACAGCAATTAGCACCAGCAGCAGCAGCAACGCCAGCAACAGCAATAGCGACAGCGCAAGCACCAGCACCAGCTCCCGCAGCAGCAGCAGCAGCAGCAGCAGCAGCAGCAATAGCGCTAGCACCAGCACCAGCGCCAGCCGCAGTAGCGCCAGTACCAGCACTGCCTGCGGGAACAGCAACAGCAACAGCATAATAAACAGCAGCTTTAAAAGCACAGCAGCAGCAGCAGCAGCAGCAGCAGCAGCAATAGCGCTAGCACCAGCACCAGCGCCAGCCGCAGTAGCGCCAGTACCAGCACTGCCTGCGGGAACAGCAACAGCAACAGCATAATAAACAGCAGCTTTAAAAGCACAGCAGCAGCAGCAGCAGCAGCAGCAGCATCAGCAGCATCAGCAGCAGCAGCTGCGGCGACAAGGCGGCGACACATGGTGCAACCAGTAACCAAGCAAGCACAACTAGGCCCTAAAGGCTAATCACAGCTCCGTTGAGACCACACCACATGCGTAGAAAGCAATCGACAACGTTGTCCAGTCCAGCGCTCGTTGCATTACACCGGCAAAATCAAGCGGATCTATCCCTTGCAGGCCCATTTTCTTGCATAGCAGCGACAGGACTGCACTCATTGCTTGCTGGCAGGGACATCTGTTTCAGAGGCTCTGCCGGTGCCACAGAGCTGAGAATTTGCCACGAGAAACGCACTAGATGCAACAACGTACATCAAACAAGCATCGTGTTGACGATTCCCAGTTCGAGGGACTCTAGCGTTGCATTGCGTCTACAAACCTACGAACATGGTCAGCCAAAGAACACTAAGGAAACTTCTACAGTCCGTTTGTGTCGTCTTGACATGTCTTGACCCAGGATGCTGCTGTGCTCTTCTAGCTGCTTCAAAGTACCTTGAAAGGTAACGGCTCCTGAATTTCGTGCAGGCCCTAGCAGTCAGAAGCCAGCAGAAGCATGCACGCATGCACATGCCTCAGCTTGTGATCATCTGCAAAAGTGTGCTGGGAGCTCTGAAAACAAAAGTCGGCAAAGCTCGAATGCGCTGAACTACCGAACTTCTACGTCTAGACACTTTCGGAAAGCAGCCCGCGCATGACGCAGATTGAGCCAAGCTACTAGATTTATCATGGACCTTGACGGTAGCTCGATGGACCGCGTCCTGGGCCTGGCACCTCAATGCGCAGGCTCTCCCGTTCTGCCGTCAACTCAATTCATGTGCTACGGCCAACCAAAAAGCAGAGCTACATGTCTAAACTTCTTAATCTAAGCTGGGCCGGATGTCGTGCCAGCAGCAAGGCACCTAAAGCTCAGATGCCAGTCCCTTCAGCAAAAAAGTTATCACAATCCCGGGCTACAGTACCTATTGCAAGTACACATCCCATGAGGAATGTCGGGTTGCCACAGCTGGCATATGTTGGAACGTCTTCAGCCAATGCGAGCTGCCTGGTTGTTGTTCGCGTTCTCTGGTGGCACCAGCCGCAGATTCTCCTAGCCGTTTTGCTTCAGAACACACACGCTGCATCCTTCGAATCTGGGTCTGGATGAGTTGTTAGATCATGCTGGCAAGTCTCAGGCTTGAAGCTCAAAGTCTGCATTTCGCGAGTCATCCTTGCATGCTGTGGCGGCAATGGCAAGCGTACGATGGCGCCAGGAAGCAGAACATGCGACCCAAACACTCGTCGTCGTCAACGATCACGTCCACTGAATAGCGGCCCTTCTCGTTCGGACCACCTGCAAGAAAGCAAACGGGGCTTTTGCAGTGCAGCACGATCCACAACCCGAAGACACATGACAGACAAGAAGGGATGACAGTGAGCTCGGTGTTCCTCGGGCCGATTGTTTGCAATAGGCTCGGCACCGGGCTTTCCACTTTCACATGCGCATGGCACATCTTGCTGCATCTTGCTGCTGAGCACCAAGAGTAACCTAGCTCCTGAGACCTGTTGGCTGATGGCTGCCTTGCTCAAACACTGGAGCTTTCTTCGTGACAGGATTCTGAAACAGAATGTCCAGCAGCACTCACCAGCAAGAAGGCTCGACTCGAGAGAAAACCACTCTGGCCAGGCCCGTCTCCTCGCGCCTGTAATGAAACCTTCCAGCCCGTTGAAGTGCGCCTCACGAGGGATCCACTCTCTCCCAGCTGACTCATGAGACGTTTCGCCACGTGGCCGCCTGCCTGTGAAAGCCCGACTAATCGGATGTGAGCGCCCACTGCGAGCTGCCCACCACCCGCCTCCGCAGGGCTGGACACATCTGGGTTCTGACAAGCATAGGCGGAATGATCGCACCAGTTGCAAACCTGTGACACCGGTGCTATCCGCCGCACTTGTCGTTTGGGCCAAAGTTTCTCGCAGCCTGGCAGGCTGCCGTTTTGCTTTGCTGCCACGACTCGGGCTCAAGCACTTATCTTGGTCTGGGGCCAGGCACGCTGCACACGAAAACTTCAGCGACAAGCTGAGAGATTCTCAGTCACAGGCATTTGGACAGCCGCGAAGGCTTCTTGGGCTTCGTGTCTGGGGCTTGGCCAGGGATTATCTTCCTGAATCGCGGCCAATCGCACTTGATCACACCTTCTGCCGCGCATGATGCTCAGACATCCGAATCTGAAGCGCGGGAAAGCATCTTTTTCATCCTGTATCCACCCTCTGATCGATGGACGACTTCCTGATCTTCCGTACCCACAGCAACCGCGTACCTAAGTCGTTTCGATCGGCGAGGCACGGCCTCTTTCCCCATATGTTGCAATCAGTCGCGCAAACAGCTAAAGTCAGTCAAGCACACTTTTGGCGCTGGTAGTACATATAGAAGGCGACTGCGCAGCAAGAAACAAGCGCAGAAACGCCGAGAGCACTCGCCAGGACGACCTTGCTTGGCTAGCCATGTCGTGCCCCTGTGTTGGCGGAGGCTGGTTTTCTGAACATGTCAATTCCATTCTGCCTACTGCATCGTCAGCGTGCAATCGGATCAGTAAGATCGTTTAAACTCTCGCATCGACATCTGGTGCTCAGGATATCTTGACCTGCAGAAGAAGCCAACCAAACACAGCCAAACCCTCCCAACAAGTGTTTTAACTTCAGAACGTCTTCGAATGGCGATTCACGATCAGTCTGAAATCAAGCATACAATGCTGGAAGGGATGCTAGCAAGCAGGCTATGCAGGAGTTTGATTCAATGTCCAGCTGCCCAGCTGTCATTCTTGCCAACGTGTGTATGCCGGCATGCCTGTGACACGTAGGGGGGCCCTCACGGGAGCAGCGAAAGAGTTGGGAGTTGATCCTGCGCCTGCGCCTATGATCAATCGACCAGCGACAGAGCACCACCACGAACACGACGGCCACGACCCACAAACCATCATGACGACGCCGACGACCGCGACAACCAGGAGAGCACCAACCAATACCAGGAGCCCGCGACCAAGAGACTACTAGGGCCGAGAAGACCACCTGCAGAGGAGACCGGCAGGAGACCACGCACCAGCAGGAGACCATCAGGACACCACGGCCAAACTGCTTCCGTCAAGTACCTGGCGCGGTTCAGGGGCTCTCACAATTTGGAGTACGGGACACAAAAAGTGGCTAAGGCCTGTGAACTTGCAATAGATCTTGCTTCGCGGAAGAACGGGGCCCAGCAACAAATTTATCTTTACACCGAACGTTGGAAGGCCAGTGTTTGTACCACCGCACTGTGTGAGGAAGAAGCATGCCTAATTCTGACAAGCAGCAACTATCGTTGTGCTCGCCGTCCTCAGCAGCCAAATGGTGAAGCAGTGTGAGATGAAAATGGATTACAGAATTAACCAAAACCTGGCCAACTCGCTGCAGTACAGTAGATCAATTCAAGACGTGTCTCCAAACAGGCGGTGGCTCGGTGGTTGTGGTGTCGGGTGGCGCCATCTCCACCGTTGGGCCGAGCGCCACGTGCACCCACATCTGCCCTATAGGACGGCAGGACGACAAGCACAGTGAAGGCTTGAACCTACTTGGACCTACGTGGCATTTCTACTAGTCGACATACGTCATGCGTCGAGTACTGCGACGTCCTTGTTCATCAGTGTTGTCGGACCCGTGAGGTTTCCGAACGAACCAAGAGGTTGGCGGTGATGCACGGACTGTCCTTGCCTGGTATACTGGCGCCCGACAGGCCCACGGCCTCGAGCTCCTGTGGCATTCCCACCGTCTTGTGCAAATTCTTCTCACTCTCTTACAGTCTTACAGTCTTACAGCTACAGGCAGGGTCGGCAGAGTCTCAGGCATCTTCTGCACAGGTTTCGTTCCTCCGCTCTCACCTTGGGCAGTTGAAGGATCAGGTCTTTCCCTTGTCCTGGTAGATCACCTGCAAGAGCGGGCCCTGGTTGTTTCTCAGCTGTTCCAAGTTGTAGGTGACCGCTTCACCTCAGGCCCAGGCTGTGGCATGCTGCGGCCACCGCAGCCAAGCTTGGGCTCCCCACGCACTTGGTTGGTGCGAGTGGTGATGCGAACGATGAGTCGCAAAGCATTGCTGTCGCCAGGCCAGTCGATCTGCAGCTCGGGTGCTTCCGACCTGAGCCAACAGCGAACCACAAGTGCTCGAGTGCTGCGTCGCTGCGCTGGAGACAGTAAGCTGTCAGCGTGCTGCTGCTTAGCGGTGTCTCCGTGCTGGTCGTCTGGTCTTGAGGCTGGCAAATTCCACAGGTGCGCTGGCAGCCATCCAGGACCTGAGTTGCTGAAGACAGGGCACACAATGCCGTGATATGCAACACCTGAGTTGGTCAGTGTCGGAATACATCGCTAGAAATCATGGTTTCTCAGAAACTTTGATGAGCCTGCAGGCTTGGAAAAGACACGATCCCTAGCTTGACGTTCAAATCCACGCTGTGCTGCACAAGCTGTAGGCGATCGATCATGTACTCAGCTACCGATTTACAACACCGCAAGAGCGCTCTGAATCAACCAACGGTCTTTTTGCCAGTGAGCAGGTCGCCCTCCCGTGCCTGGTGAGCTGCAGATAACTGCAGATGGGATATGGTGGGATTTTCGCACAGGTCTCCGGAGCTGAGACGTCCCAATTCGACTCGTGCACACTGCCGACATGTCTGGGACTCGCACCTTGACTGCAGCCCGCAAGCGTCAAAGGAAGATCACACAACTTCCTGAAACCATATCTGCATGCGGAACACGTCCTCGTCGGGGTAACATCACCGGGTGTTCTGTCGCCTGTTGATCGCTTCAGCTCAAAAGTGTTTGCCCGCTTTTCTCGGCGCCAACTCCACTTCTGCCACCTGCTGCCTTCCATGTCTGGTGGCCCAACATACCAGCACAATCAGATATGCACGATGTATGATGGTTCGTCACCCCATGGCCATACATGCTTCCGCCATTGCTGCAAGGTGCAGGGACACGGATGCTCCGCAGGCAACGTCTGAGCCAAGGTGCAGCGCTAGCACGTACCAAACGGATGTTCCTGGAATCTGAGCTGTCTCGACTGGGCTGCATTGTTCCCAGGTAGACGTCTCGAGCTGACCCACAGAAAGGTGCAAATACTTGAATAGCAGAACGACCCAGCAACCCGCACATTTTCCTCAATTACAGAGGTCTGCGATTCAGAGTTCAGTCGACATGGCATGATTTGGCTTACGGGCGGTGCGGTGTTCATGCCAGCTCCAGCACTGGCAGCATAGAGGCGATATCCTGCACCGCAGAAGACTTTTGGAGTCCTAGCCCTAGCTGTCGCAGCCAGCCGACATGTTCCTTCTTGAAGTCGAGTTCGCTGGCGCTCTCGACCACCGCATCAGCATCGCCGAAAAACTCCTCCGAACTCTGCATTCTTCTAACAGAAGTCACGGCAGAGCACACCGGAGCCTTGGCCGAGTAGACGCTCTTGGTGACGACGACCTGCTAGAAAATTGCGGCACAAGTTCTTGCTGGCACGGTGGTTGAAACTGCGGCACTCGGGAAGGAGCCTTCATGTTGGCTGCCGAGCCGGCTTGTGCTCCGATGCCTGTATCCTCCACCACAATGCACCGCATTGGTGCAACACCGAGCTCTTGCGCAGCCAATTTGTAGATGGCCTGGATACATCCCACACAAAAACCGTTTCAAAACTAAACCAGCACTCAAGTCAGCTGACGAAACGAGGACTTTCAGTCTAGTTGCCGGATCCGGCTTCTTCGCAGAAACCACGTCTCCAGCAAAGACTTTGATCTTGTCTGCGAAATCGGGCAGCATTGTCTCCACCACTGCTCTCACGGAGGCCTCGACACTTCGCAAGATCGCATGCCGCACGGCTGCACGAGTGCCCGTTGCACGCGAGTCGCACCTCGTTGCTCGTTGAGCACACGGCCAACTGCCAGCCTGCAGCATCTGCTGCGGAGATCAGCTCCTGGCAGACGCGCTCTGCCGCCATGCCGCCAGGGCCGCTTCCCCATCTCTACATGTCCCAGTCTCAGGCCTAAGGCCGAACCCAAGGCACAGGGGCTCCTTGATGCCCTCACGCAAAGGCAGCTCACCGGATTTCACCTGAGGCACCAGATGGTAAGGGAGCCAGGAACTTGCGACAGGGAGCCCAGGAGACACAGCGCGAGATACCGCTCCACCTCTATCTGTCTACCAACCTATATATATATATATATATATATATAAATACATGCACATATATATATATATATACATATATATATATATATATATGTATGTATGTGTGTATGTATGTATGTATGTATGTGTATATACATACATGTATAGATAGGTAGAATAGATATAAAGATAGAGATATAGATGTAGGGAGATAAAGAAACAAAGAGATTGAGAGATATAGAGATAGAGATATAGGTGCAGACATATACAAAGCTATATGTACAAACGAATAAATTCTGCATATACATATACATACATATACATACATATACATACATATACATACATATACATACATATACATACATATACATACATATACATACATATACATACATATACATACATATACATACATATACATACATATACATACATGTGTATATATATATATGTATTTATTTATTTTTATTTACATTAATTGCATGTGTGCTAATTAAGATATATGTATATATGTAGCAGCTTCTGATTTTTCTAATGTATATATACAAACCCATTTTTGGCTCCCGCCCGGCAGTTATCAAAATTAAGGCCCCTTCTTGGGTACCCTAAACAATAGGTGCCGTATTATAATAAGGACCCAAAAAGGGACCCTAATTTTGACAACCACTCATGTGTGTGTGTGTTTGTGTAAATTAATTACATACTTGCCCCTTCAGTTGTCCACCTGTTCGTGGATTTGGAGGGCAGGTGGGGGAGCATTTTCCCAAAACTCTAGGTCATTTTTTTCAACTTTGAATGCGAACGCGTGTGTGTGTGTCTCTTTCCCTCTCTCTCGCTTGCTTGCTTGCTTGCTACCGGGCTTGGAAGGGCCGCAGCGTCCCGGCGACCCCCCGGTGCGCGCACGCACCCCCGCGAGTTTCGCAGGGAGTCCAGTTCCCCCAGGTGGTTGGCACCCAGGGGCTCGGCTGTAGAAGGTACACAGACTCCCCCATACCAGAGTGCTTTGCAAACAACGCTCAAGACATTGGCAAAACAGACAAACTTGCACTGTCGGTATGACGGTAGGACTTAAGGGAAAGGAGCCATGACATCTTGTCGTTGGCTACAAGGCTGCAAAGTTCAAGTACACTCGTAGTGGCATCCCCCGACTCAGCACTATCGCTCTCCCAAGAACTATCATAAAACAGGGATCCAGCACGAGTCATGGTTGTAAGGTCTGCATACACTGCTGGTTGCTGCAACGTCTGTACGAATGTGCAGGGCTGGGAAGTACCATCTCTGTCGGAACGAGAAGCTACAACTAGAACTAAGAACAAGCGATGGACCTCCCCCGCGACAGAATTAAGCAGTTCTGTGCCGACGGTTTTTGGGTCGCAAAAGCTATCCCCCTGGTCCTAAAGCTGCTCACTGGTGCTTGCGTTTCAGAGGAGGACGATCTGGTCGGGCTCCGGCCGGGTACTGTCTTTCCCCCGCTGGCTGCGGGTCTCCACGTGGTTCCAGAGCAGGTTCCAGAGCTCCCCGACGGTCGGCTTGGGCAGCGACTCGCAGGACGTTGGCTCGCAGTCGTCCCCCATCGCCATCGCTGGCTTCCGAGGCAGGTTGGAAGGCTTCCCCCCTCGCCTCCCCCGCTGCTTTGGGGACGGGCTTCGCCGCAGGTAGCTTCACCATCATGTCTCGAACGAAGATGGTGGTGCGTTGTTCGGTACGGTCTGCACGAATCCCTTCCCCCTTCTCGCGTCCTGCCTTCGCAGTTGTGTTGTCGAGGTCGGTCTTCCCCTGTTCCGGCAGGATCTCCTCGTACTCTTCGTTGTCGTCGTCAGCTTCACCAGGTTGTTGCTTCAGCTCTTGAAGGACTCGTTCAACCATGTCTCCCCCGCCAGGTGTTGCCGTGGAGGTTGGAGGCGGTGAGGGCGAGCGTGTCTCTGTGTTCACGATCTCCCCGGGCTCAGGTAGGTCCCACTCACGGCGTAGGGATTCTGGCGTGACCGCGTCGAACACCAGGTCCCATGCTCTGTCGCAGGGCCAGGTTTCTTGTACGCCCGGCTCTTCCCCCATGTTCTGCAAGTGCAGAGGCAGAGGTGGCGTGAGGGGCGCGGCTTCCCCCGCGGGCTGCAAGTGCGTTTGCCAGGGTGGTGTGACAGGCACCGCCGTGTTGTTGGTGAGGTAGCCGCCCTCGCTGTCTGTACTTAGGAGAGAGGGCGTTTTGGGCATTTGCTCCCCACTCTCCACCGGCACGTAGTCTGCTTGGTGGCCTTCTCCCCCGGACCAGTCTGGTTCTTCTTTAACAGGAGCACGATCTGGAACGTGAGCTTGGGAGACCTCCCCGGTCACTGTATGGCTTTCGTCAGTGCCTCGTTCCCCCGCCGAGGAGGACGCAGGTTCTCTTTCCAGTGCAGTTGTTGGCTCCCCCGCGGCAGGCGGCAGGAGGTGGAGGTTCCCCCACCGCATGGAGCTCTGTTGGGACTTCTATGACGACCTCTCCAGTGCTTGTAGTTATGGAAGGCAATGGACGTGCCCTGTTTTGCATCAGCGCGTGGAATTCCCCCGCTCGCACACCGAGCTGCCGGTGGAATCTGACGCGGCAGGCCGTCCAGGCGTCCGCCGCATCAAGCGGCTTTTCACGAAGCACCCCCACCAGTCCGTTGTACTGGTACATGTCGCCGAAGGCACGAAGAGACATGAGCGCCAGATATGCCGCTTCCATCATCTGGGTAACCACTCTTTTGGTTCCCCCCTCAGTCAGTCTGGTGTAAACTCCCCCCACAGGAGCGTCTTCCTCGATGTGGAAGCGTCGGCTGGCCTTCTCGTAGACTAGGGCCTCCCACGCACCCCGGTACAAACCACGAACTGTGCGCCTCGTAGTTTGCCTCTGTATCGCCGTCCCCCGTAGTGGATCATCATCTTCACTGACAGGCGAGGTGCTGGAGCTAGCATCATCAGCGGAACTGGTCGTCCCCCCCGTTGGCGGTGAGGGAGGGGGCACCGCTGCTTGTTGCTCAGTCCCCCTGCTGGAGCTCGCAGCTTCTGGTTCCCCGAGTGTTGCCCTCATCTGCCTGGTAGTAGCTGTACGGCGCGGAGCGACACCATATAGCTTGCATGCAGGATCCAGGCGGTTGTGGCGTAGGTGCCTACCGACGCACCCGAAAGAGCAGTACCTGCAGTGCTCTCTGGGTTGGCTCGGTTCCCCCGCCGCGGCCATTGCTGTCGGCCTCACGGGCTTTCCTTGCGGCTGAGGACCGAAAGCTGCTGTCGGGAACGTCTGTGGCTCCTGCAGTGTCAGCTGCTGAAAGTCCCCCGGTAGAACTGAGGGTCTGCTATGCGAAAAGTGTGGTAGGATGGAAGTGGTGTCCCTCTCTCTCGCTCGCTCGCTCTCTCTCTCTCTCCCTCTCTCTCTCTCTCTCTCTCTCTCTCTCTCTCTCTCTCTCTTTCTTTCGCCAGGGCTATGGGCAAGAAGTTAACCCCCTCTCTCTCTCTCTCTCTCTCTTCATGGGCTTTGGCATTGTGCTGAGGATTTGTCTTTATCTGGAGCACGTGTAATATAGTCAACATAATGAAACAAAAATGCCCCTAAATGTTGTACCAGACTACCAGCAGGATCGCTGTTCCCGTGGCGAATTGGAGTTAAATTTGGGGGCTAACTTTTAGCTCAGGTTGCAATCAGGCTTCCAGCTAACGGTAACGTTCTGCGAGTATGGCAAACATTCGTGATACTCCTGCAGCTGTTTGTGGCTATTTTAATAAAGTGAAACACGCGGTTCTTTTCATTCCCCTTGTTTTCACTTATTAAAATAGAACAAAGAGGAAACAAAGGAGTGAATCACATGCCAGGTTGTAGGTTAGGTGTGGTTAATGTGGTTCGTGTTTCACATTATTTCAAAGAAGAGAAACGGATGCGAGAATTAAGTGAAACGAACCACACCACATTAACCACGCTCTTCCTCTTTCACTTCTCTCTTTCTTTCGGCAGGTGATGCCAGAGTCGCCATTGGGACCAATATAATATCAGGGCCAGGGCCGAGGTTAGAGCCAGGGTTGATGTTGTTGTCAAGAACTGATTCACAACAATTTCAGTGATGCAGAAGTTTCTTTTTCGGACTGTATCTCGAGTCCAAATATTAGAAATTGCCGCTGGGGTGAATATGGGGGCCGATGTTGAACTTGTGGAAAAACGTCGCAGCAGTGCATAACGCTATGACTGTGAATATGGGCGTGGGTAGTGAATGATGCTATGGCGGTTAATACGGGCATCAGCAACAGCTCATGTTAGGTCTGCTAGCAATACTCTCTGGTTGAAAATGCTGTGTTGGGGCCAGTCTAAGAGTTGCACCTTGGGCCACTCTTAAATTTGCTTGAAGGTAGCATGCGGTTTAATACTAAAGTGAATCGTAGGGTTACAATAGACGAGATATTGGGTTGCTGTTTACATTCATTTCTGTCAGATATGAGGGGCCTCAATATGGCTAAGTTATCCGTACTATGCAAGGTCAGTGTTGGGTTTTTGCCCATGGGTTGACAGCAGCGTCAGACATTAATTCAGGCTAGTTTTCATCTTCGTCTCGACCAACCCGGTGCTTATGTCATAGTGGGGTGAATATGACAAAGCCGTGTTATTCTCAAGTTTATGGTTACGACCACAGTAGTGCTACCAGGAATTATGTTGGGGCTTAAGTGAGCAACACACGGAAAACAAAGCTACATTTACTGCTAGTTTTGTTCATCGTGGATCTGAGTTGCATGCAACTCTGTTATCATGCTGGCACTCAGGTCTTATTGTTACGACATGTTTACCTTTGTCCTTTTTCCCCATACGCTTAAGCCAGCAACAAGCGGAAAACGACCCTGTTTTTTAGTATTGTTTGTTACAATCTCACTCTGAGCCTAGGTGTGTTTCATCCACACCGCCATCATGATGAAAGGCTGGTGCTTGCTGCTTAGCGCGGTTAGGCTGTCTGGGTGGTTGGAATGGTTGAGGTATGTACGAGTAAAGAGCGCTGATAGCGCTGAGTTCATTCCGCAGCACCTCTCAGATGGGCTTTGAAGCTCAATCCGGAGTTCTAAAGTTCAATCCGGAGTTCTGAACTTCAAAACTCCGGGATCCAAGACTCAAGATTTCAGGAGAAAGCTTGCCCCGAATCTTGAATCTTGGATCCGGGAGCTTTGAAGTTCAATCCTCGGGGTGGAAGTTCAAAACTCTGGACGCATCAGGACTTCTCACCTTGCCGTAAACACACATGCGCAGTAGTCTGCTAAACTGGTATGTTTTCCCTCCTACTTGGCAAGGACAAAGCCCGCATTGCAGGGTAACTCCGAAATAACAGTTAAACTGGTCTATAATATATAAGTGAGGCGGGATGGGCCAGAGGCAGAATACACAGCATTTACACCAAAACTGGTGGATCACGCGGGAGGTACCATATGCATATATGGTCAGGCGTCTGGCGTTCCCAGCCCCCCCCCCCCCCAATGGTATGGTCTGACAGGGGTGGGGGGAGCTGCCACTGGATGGTGGGGTGGTGCTGGCGGCCAGGGCTCACGCGCAAGCCCTTCGCAAGCAAGCCGTAAACCCTATGACGCAGCGCGTGCCCCTGTTTTGAGCAACCTTAACTTGTACTTAAAACGCTACACCCAACCCTAAACCCCACCTAACTGCAGGCTCTAAGCCTAAAGCAGAGCATACACCGCAAATCCTCCCTAAGCCCTTGTCGACTCGAAGCCTTATACCTTGTAGCCGTAAACCCAAAACTCAAAAGCTTGAGCTAAACCCTAAGCCCCAAAACCCCACAACCACCCCACAGGGGGAAGAGGAACCCCACAGCCCACACCACAGGGGAGGGGGGGGCCCCACCCTATATCCGGACCATTGACCTTTGGGGGGGGAGGGGGGGGGGGCTGCGGAGCGCGTGACCATATATATATATATATATATGTGTGTGTGTGTGTGTGTGTGTGTATACACATACATATAGATATGTATCATATCTGTGTGTGTTCAGACACTGTAACGAACATGGCCGCGTACAAGCAGAGTCAGAGAGACAGACAGCAGGCAGACAGCAGGCAGACCACTTCAGCCGCGAGACGATGTCCATGAAAATCTGCGTCTTCAACTCGTGCAGCTCCATGATGACAGGGTTGTCGGGCGAGGGCTCGTCTGCAAAGCTCCAGGCATCAGGGTTGACTTCCTTGAAGTACCGGGTCATTCGCTCCTTTCCACCGCCAGTGGTCAACAGATCTCCATACAGATCCACATCCCATTCAACGTCGAAGCCCTTCTCTTCGAAGGCTTTATTGAAGGCAACACGGTGCCCATCTCGCTCGGTTTCGGCTAGCGTGCCGTCGCAATCCAACAGAAGTGCTCCAACAGCACCGTCACTAGATGCACCACCCAACAGCCCCCAACCATCATTGTCATCGTCGGTGTCAGCCATGGGCATTCTCACGGTGCCCTTGTTGAGGAGCTGGCCATAGCGGATCAAGCGGCCCTTCTCTTCGTTTGGGAAGTGGCCCCACTCTGGAGTATAGACGTCTGTCGAGAAGCGATACCTATACTTGGCACCAGGTTTGGCGCGAAACTTGTACTCGTAGAAGCAGCCTGGCACGCTAGTACTCTGCCCTGCATATGCTACCAAGTACACTGCAAATCACTGCAATGCTGCCCCGGCCCAAGCCCTGGCGGCCCTAGCGGCTCTTGACAAGTGGCCACCATTGGGACCAAGGCTAACTCGAGACCAGTTCCGCTTTCTCATGGCCCTGTAGAGAGACACAGCTGCCACGGTCGCCAAAGCAGCGCTTGTCACCCAATTGGAGACGTCGGCGCCTGGCGTGAGAGTCTGAGCACGAAGGGACCTGAAGGACATGAAGTGACCAGACGCAGCGTCTGCGCCTGCCAGCCCAGGGCTGCCATTGGATGCTGCTGCGGGGCTGTAGATCGACTCCACCACACGAGGCACCTGGGTGGCCTGTGGGAGAACCACAAAAGCCGACATGAGCAGAAGAGCCTATAGACAAGATGCAGGTGAGCCGAGGCGCCTCAGAACGAACACATGCCGCATGTCTGTTACAGGGTGACTGGTGGTGCAGCTGTAGAGTAAATGCATGTCTCAACAACGCTTGAAGCAAGCTGCTTTTCAGACCCTTACAGTTGGGAGCAGTAATCACCAACTGCACGCAAAGCCGTGCATGCAAGCACCCATCCTGTACAAGCCAAAAAACCCTGTATGTAGTGACGTCCTTACGTTCACCCGCTTCACGCGCAATGAATCACAGCATGGGAGGTCACCGTCGTCGCAGACCTCAAGAGCAAGCCGTTCAGCTTGACGATCTCTGCACCGATTTTAACAAAGTACCGCCACCACCACCAGTAGTTGCTTGCCGATGACCATTGGGCAAGATATCAAGGTAGTCACGACTGGCAAAGGACGCTGGATGCGATCAATCAGCCTCTCTCATCCTCATCCTGGCCAGCACGGCCATGACGTCGCCACGGACAAAGCTGAGCCCATGGACGCTTGAATTGAACTTGATCTGCATGCATTCCTGCTGCTACGGCTGCTACGTTACGTAAGGTCGAGGTCTGCACCAGAGCTTGTGGCTTCAAGTCGCTGCTGAAAACCACTCTCTCTGAGTGCGTGTCCATCGCAGGCCTTACACTCTCCAAGTTGAGCCAAGGCTTGAGCCGCTCGAACGCGCCCAAGACTTCTAGGCCCGGGCCTACAGCTGGGGCCGATGAGCAGCTGAGGATCCCGGCTGCTGCTTGTAGGCTTTCGTCAGAACAAAGGAGATCCAGGTTTCCTAGAAGCGTTAAGGCCTGAGCAGCGTTGCTGCGAGCGGAAAATTGCTAGCAACACAGTCCTTGCCTCTGCGCAGCTTGTCACCCCCAAGCTAGACTGGCGGCAAGCTGTCATCCGCTCACTCAGCTCACTCCTGCGACACAGATCAGCAATTCCGTGACCTTGGCCACGAATTCCGCATCGTCGTCTGCACATTCTGCGGCCCTCCTGAGCGCGTCAAGTCGCAACACACGCCCCACCTGGCTTCCAAGACTGCGTGTTGAAACGCATGGAGCTCACCACTTCATGCAACAGAAACTTGCTAACATGCGTTTATCAACTCGCGTCCTGACGGTGTGCAGCCTGCGGAAGGGGCCTCCGATCAGGACGAAGTGACAGCAGAAGCTGGGATGTGCCCATCAATAGCCGAGAAGCGGTCGAAGTCCTCTATCTCGACATCGTTTGTTTCCGGAACCATCTTGCCGAGCAGATTTGACCTGCACACAGCTGGTACACTGAATAGACACCCTCAGTAGACCATACTTCACCAACAGTTCTGGTCATAGTTTCCTCGGCCTCAGGCCAAAAGCTTGCAAAACAGTTACTTCGGCCTCATCGATGTGTAACTTGAAAAGGCCGCCGCGATCGCCATGAACACGACGTCTTGTGGCTGCAGACCGCCGTCAATGCTGACGTAGATGGTGACAATAGACTTTTGCAGTATTTCCTTGTGAGGTTTGAGCAAGCATGAGACTCGGATAACCCTCATTCATTCCGATTCCCTTGTTGCATCACTTGTGGAGTCGTCTCTAGAGTTCGTTGACACTCCCATAAGCTCGAAGGTCTTGGGTCAGCTTTGAAGGCTTGGTTCGTTTGCTTCGGGCTGTTGGTCTTGATAGTCAGGACACTTTGGGAAAACACGTTGACCCCGTTTCCAAAGGCATGCCAGTGCGCACTTCCTCTCGGCATTTCCGACAGTTCGGACATTATAGCGACACTGTCCACTTTAGAGTGCCTGAATTGAAGTTTGGCTTGGAGAGTTGCTGTGTTGTGCTGGATGTGCTACATTACATGATCAATCGTTTGTGTCTCAGACAGGAGCTGATCGCAACCGCTTCGGCGTGGTTTCGCCGTACGCTAAACCCAGCACTCGACGTGAGAGAGAGAGGGAGAGAGAGAGAGAGACAGAGACAGCGCACGATGATAAGCGAGCGCGGAATTGGAGCTTGATGCGATCGAACGTAAACGGCAAGCAATGCTGCTTTCTGCTTGGGCTCCACAGGCTCGACGGGGTCAGGTGGCGGCGGCAAGGTTGGAATGTATGCATCGCAACCAGGAAGCGGTTGGTCCATACCTCGCCAATCGCGCTACATGGCAGTGTTGCAAGTGCAGCACTCTACGCCTCTACGCTTGCAAATGTCCCTGAGGGGGCCAAGCAACTCCCCCATGTGAGAACTGGCTCCACCTCCAGGTTGCCCGCACGGACCCAATTGGCCGCTATGTCACACATCCGGTTGCAGTGGCACAGCTGGAACTTCCCACATGCCTCAGTTCTGCGGCGCGACAAACATCTTCGGGCTCGTTGCAGACATCTTTCGCAAGCTATTCCATGATGGGCATCGCGGTCCGAATGCCGAGTTCCACAGCGGTCCCAACAAAGAAAAGCGACTAGCACAGCTTGGTGGCGTTCATGGTTATACCACCCCAGCGGTGCAAGAATTCAGTGGCCAAAGAGGGTGGTGTCGTGCATACCCAGCCTGCCAAGCTTTTGGGATTGGGCTCCGCATTTGTGCCTCACGACGTGTCGTGCCTGTAAAAAGTCCAGATTGGCTTGGCTGCCGGCACTCGATGCCAGTCAGGTTGGCTGGCAGTGGGTCTCTGCCTTCGCGTGGCCCGGCGGGCAACAGATACCGTGCCGCTGATCTGCCAGGGCACTGCAGACATCACCTTCTCTGAGGATTTTCATTCGAGGTCCTGGACTGCACAAAAGCGCTTTTTGGCAAGCAGTAAAGGTAACGTCCAAATCGTCCACATACCTGCGTGCGACGCAGCCAAGTGCTTCACCTTGTGAATTGCCAGGGTCTTCTGCACGCATTCGTTCACCGGTGAAATCGACGGTGAACATACGTCCTGCAAATGCCTGTCCACCGACGCAAAGCCAGGAAGGTGAAAGCGCACCCAACAGCCAGACGAGAATAGCGAAATGCCGAACGAGGATTCTGCAGCACCGGCCTTTCGATTCACAGCAAGAGGCACTCCATCCACCATATCACTGATCTGAAAAGCACCTCCGTTTGCCTCAGCGCTTTGCGGGGACAGCAACAATCGAAGCTGCCTTCCTTGCGGTTTGCTCCAGTATCTACGATACACCGCCCTCTCTGGGGTGACTTGGCGCGGAACTGATGCCCACATCTCGATGGCCATAGTCAAAAACAGTTATTCGGGCTGTTTGAGCTGAAAGTTCGTTACAGAATATCACAAACACCAAACATCGCCTCGCTGTGATTACGTCGAACCGTAAATCAGTGTCAATACGACGTCCGAACAGCGGTCGTCATCTTCCTCATCATCATTGGCATGATCATGATCATCACCACACCCCCAAACCCAGTATGGCGCTAACAGGATCCACTCAAGCTAGAACTGCCAAGGAGCACGTCCTTGCACGCCGCTCTGAGTGAAGTAAATGTTCGCACATTTGCAATGACAGTCCTCAGCGTCAAGCATGACACAGGCCGTCACACAGCTTGTCACAGGCAGAGACAGCGGCATGGCCTGACCAGTGCGGATGGCATCTACACAGCTGACGCCATCTTGTTCCACTCTCTGCCAGCACCTCCCGGACCGCAAGCAAGCGCACACACAAGCTGCCAGTGGAGCGCTCATGTTCCGAAGCCTCTTTTGGTCGACGCTGGCCACTTCATCGCGATTACAGCGGTAGGGGCATTCTGCTGTCGAGCAGGAGACTGGGCAAAATTCGGAGATCGGAGCCCACAAGCCTGCATCGAGACGTCATGGATCAACTGAATCTCACGTCCGGAAGCCTCATGGCCCGACTTACACGCCTTGGCATCCGAACTTTGAGATGACCTGAGAGGTGCGAGCTTTGCACGCAAGCATTGTGTGTTTTATGTGTGTGTGTTCTGCCCAGCGGCATCAGGGCAAGTCGTGGCCCCGTAGCCCGCTGTCCTCTCACCACAGCACCCGGAGCAGAAGCAGCTTCAACTGTACGACTGCAACAGGGTCCTGAGCATTTCGTCATGGTCGACGCAGGCTCGCAAGCAAGCAAGACCTCAGCGACACGAACTCAAAGGGAGAATCACGGCCGAAGACGTAAAGAAATCAGAAGCCGGATTCGAAGCCGTTTTGAGCCGACCTAAGCCGTCGATAAAAAGGCCCGTTCAGGCAAGGCTCTGGTTCTGGAAAGTCCAGCTGGGATGCCGCAGCCAGCCACCCAATTGCATGGGAAGTCCTAGCGATAACGAGAGCAAGGTGGTCAGCAGACCAAAACCCCTAAGACGGCCTCATTGAGGCAATGGTTGACTGCACACCCCCACGGCGCCTGCAAATGTTACAGCTTGCCACGGGCATTAAGCAGCAGTGGATTGGTATGACTTATAGGCGTTCGGTCCCAATGTCTGCCAGGAGGAAGATATTTTCGTCATCCATTTGTAATGTTGCATAAGTCTCGTCCATGCCTGAAGCTACTTTGTGTAGATCAGCAATTCCGCCTCACTTCCTTTATCAAGCCATTCTGGCCAATACTGGGGCGGCAAAAGTGAACCTTCGAGTTTCAGCCATGCCGAGATAGGCCCAGGAGCGCGCGGAAGCCGCGGAAGCCCTAAGGCTAAGGCCTAATATGTTTAATAGGCGCTAAAGTGCTAAAGCGGGGCGGTCTCATTTCCGAACACGAGAAAAACACTCGTCCCCCCACGGCTGAAACAGAGACGGCTCTGGCTGCGCCACCTGTTCCGCTACAACTCGGCTCGAGCGGAAGCATCTAACGTGCTCTCTGGTCGAAGCACGTGTTTAAACCGGGCACAGGTCACGACCTATACATTTATGGCACTTCTGCGCGAACTTTTGCTGCGCAATCGGCCGTCTGACCATGCAACACCCGTGACGCTTCAGACACGTACCTGAGAAGCGTGCGGAAAGGATATGGCTTAAAATACTTGTAAAGGGCAGAAAGAGAGATGCACGAGAACAAAGTTGCAGAAACCAGCACGCAAACCTGAGAGCCGCAGAATCCCTGCACTGAGCAGTGCCCCACTTGCAAGCGTTCCGAAAACTGTGAATGTCCATGATCGGTAAGTGCTAGAGACATCTCTCTTTCTTAGCACGTGCCAGGGGCTTGAACTCCTAAGCACGGCTTTCCAAGGCATACATGCTGCACAATTGCATCCGCAGGCTTAAAAGTTAAAAGGTCTCCACGTTCGTGGATCCAGACCCGTACATGTAAGCTGCCCATACAGGCTCACCACGCTGCCCCGTTCGGACCGGTTGCAACGACACCTTGGCTGTGAGAGTCAGAAGGCCTTTACTGAGACTCTGCGCGAGACTCCATGAGCTGAGTGCTACGATGGAACGAAAGCCAGGCGACGCCAAAAAGTAATTCGTTTTCCCGAAAGCTGCTCACTGCAGCCGGACCGAGCGAAGCAAAGGATAAGGACGTGGAGAAGTTTGAGAGCAGCCGGAATCACGACATCCAGACGGGCTCAAAGTCCGAACATGGCACAATCGAAACCGCGCGTTGAATGAAAGGTCAAGCGAATGACGCCGCTTCCTACCCACGACGTGAGGTTCGCAGCAGAAACAGCATGCGACGCGGTGTTGGATGATGTGGGCAAGGCAACAGGTGCTGTGCCGAATAGCCAGCACAAGCAGATGTCCAAGCAGGGGCTATGGAAGAAGTATCGGGTACAGCTCGAAAGCAACGCCACGAGCTGCTTCTTTCAATGAGCTATCGCTCGACTCCGGGGCTGGCAAACCAACAAATCACAGAATCAGAAGGAGGCGGTGGGCATAACCGCACTCTCTGAACCCAACAAGCTGAACTGTGAATTCGAACCGTCGGACCTCCGACCTACCCCAGAATTCGACACTGTCACTACACCCTTATGGAACCTTCCCCTGGACACCAAATGGCCCGAGCCGCAACATGCAAGCTTTCACATGGAATTAGTAGGTTTCTCTTGGAATCGTGCGGACTGAGAAACGTACAACAAAAACCTATTTTTCCTGTCCCGAGCGGTAAATGGCTGACATTCTAGGCCAGTGCGTCGACAATAATAAATATAAACTTTTCTGTTGTCGGCTAGCCCCGGACTGAGGAATTCCCCCGCAAAGGCAAGCAGCCAGCAAAACCCCAGGGTAGGCTCAGAAACCCCGCGAAAAAACCCAAGACCAAACACACAAGTCTGAACAAAGCCAAGCTGTTGGATGTTTCAGCTTCATGAGAGGTCGTGTTCTCAATGAGAACTTTCTCTAAAATTTGATAGCTCCGCTACTGGCGTGCCAACAGCGAACAAGCCAATCCCGAATAAGGCCCAAGGCAGCCAACTGAATCTATGAGAACATATTGACAATCGAAGCGGCCACTGTGCTGGCGTTCGTCCTGGTGCTTGACCTGTGGCCGAGAGTCCTGTCACGAAACAACACGAATCACCAACCTATTTCCTTGCAACAGTTTTATCAACACGTTCTTTCTGTCTAGCGGCGTAGTTGAAAGGAGCTGTGTCTGTGCTCCCGATCGCTTCAATCGGCGAGACCCACTCACGACCAGGCCACCCAAATAGTCCTTGCAGGTACGTGGAGAGCAGCCAAGGGGATCGCTGAACGCACTCAGCAGCACCATGCAGCACCGCAGAGTCCTTGACCATGGTTGCCACCCATGCAATCATTAGTTCCTGCACCTTCGCATTTACTTTCTCGAAGCCGATGGTTTCCTCGATCATACTTTTGACTTGCATTTCGTCTTCCGGACACCATGCGCACGCGATCTCGGCGTCGACATCGCAAAGGGAATCCCGCACGCGAACCTGAGCGCTGCTGACTGCTCGTCTGTGCAAGAAGTGACTTACAAAGTCTACCGTCTGCATGCGGCACGACATAAGACTTAAGAGTGATATATGCCTGTCTCTCTTTCTTTTGCCAGGGCTGGGGTGAAGGGGTTTCCGGCTCCACCGCGCGCTGTGTGCGCCCCCGACAGTTGCGGGTGGCAATATGTTGCAAGCACACCACGAGCACTGCCGGTCCATGAATCTCTTGCTTGCTCTCTCTCCGCCGTTGCATCCAGGCGGTCTAGGAGAACGTAAGAGTAATGCTTTTTAAATGTTGCTTGCGTCGCGTTGGATCTTGCTGTCGTGGCATGCCGCCACTCTTCTCCTCAGGCCCGCACAATGCCCTCCTCGCCTTTGCGGATCTCTTCGAGCAAGCTATCTCCAGACACTTCGGGCAGGATAAATGTGACCTGCTGATGGGTGTCACCAAACGAGGTATCATCATCTGAAGTGCAGACCCTTTCCCTCAACTGCCTCGATCTCCAACACCACCGCCGTGTACTGCTCGAAAATTGTCCTTCGCAGGCCAAGGTTTTGACTTCAAGCGCTTGAGATCGCCCCGCTAATCCCAAACGGCGTAAAGCTCACCAACTCATCCACCAAGCGGCCATATGCGAGAGAGATATGTCGGTTTCTCCCAACCGTCAAGGAGTGCGACCATGCGGCCAATCCGTTGCAAGTTATCGCCGAAAACATCTTTCAGGTTCGAGCCCATGCTGCCGGCGCCGTTCTGATCCAGCAGAATCCGGTACTGGTTGTTAACAAAGAAGCACATGTACAAAAAGGTCTTCTGAGGATCGATCTTGCTTTGGTCAATCCATGCCGTCATGGAGCTGCGCACGAGGTTCAAGGAATATCCCCAGGTCCACGACAAGAAGTGCGTGCAGTCTCCCCTGTGGCAGAGGTCCAAAACATCGACAAAGGCGCATCCCAGCTTGCCGTCACGAGGGCAAACTTTGTCGCTGCCAATTGCTATTGGGTCGGTAGACAGAAAGAATGCATCTTTGAGATCGTAGAAATTTGGATCATCCAACTTGCTTCGCGTCTGTGCCAGCATTTTGAACTCGGCGGAAAGCAAGTACGAGATGCTGACGCCGGCCTCAGGGAGTCGGGGCAAAAGCATGCGCGTGGACTTTTATACTTGATACTTGTTTGCTGTCGCTTCCTGCCTCCTGACTTTGCTTCTGCTTCACCGCATGCAAGGTCGAGGAAAAGCGCTGAGGGCCCCAGGACTTCAAGGACTGCAGCTCGTACTGAATGCGATGTAGAGCTGGGTCATCTCCACTCCGCACAGCATGCTCCAAGTCTCCAAGCAGAGCCTTCTCTCGCACTGCTTTGCTTCGAGCGCGCCTCTTCCACTGTCTGCGACGGATCGCATAGGCCTTTTCATTGAACTAAATACTGTCTGGGCGCACTCGGCACATAAACCGAGGTAGAGGCTAATTAAACAAACTCCCCGACACTGTAGCAATTCAAGAAAAGCTCCTTTCCGTCCGGAACCTGCTCGTCGATAACAGCTTTAAGGCTTTAACTGTGACAAAGCGAGTCACTCGAAATGCCAGGGATACTCCCGCCCCCAGGAGGGAGCCGCAGCCGACCGAATCTAGGATGATCGCGGGCGCGATGCCAAGCAAGAATCCAGCACCAAGGAAACCAGCAATCGCTACTAGGAAGAAGCTCAGCCAAACCTCACTTCGCACTCTTTCGAAACATCTCTCGGCCATGGAAGAACACCGGCTTGGTTGATCCAAGATGCTGCAGCAGGTAGCCCAAAGCCAACCACTCGCAGCTCCCAGGGACAGCTAACCCGGGCCACCCCCTGGCCGCTGATGACAGTGCTGCCCGAAGCCTGAGGGTTCGGCTGGTTAAGGGTAGCGCGAGGCACATATTCCGTCTGAGAAGGGAGCCATGGAATCGACTGGCATGCCAAAGCCTGGCTCTGTCTGCAGCACCTGCCAGGCTTGCCGCCCGAGCCCGATCTCGCTGAAACACAAGTCAGCCGAGCTACGTCCACAAATAAAGGAATGTCTTGGAGAGAGCTCATGGACCGTCTCGGATTCCCTGCTTTCTCGACGACTACCAGGATCTCAAGCTCTTTGTCCTGCCGAGAGGTGCATCGCGGGCATAATTGCGAAAAGTGGCGAATAGTTAATACCCAACTCTCAACTAACAGCTCAAGAAAACACAGTGTCTTCGCCCAGTATGAGCCAAGCAACGCTGACAGCCCTGGCTTTGAGAGGCCTCTTAGACGGCTTATCCAGGAGGTCGCATCCTGCCGTCTCAGGCATACAGAAGCCTGAACAAAAAACATACACACACACACACACGCGCGCGCGCATGCCTGTGTGGTCAATGACCAACGGAAAGTCACAGCTCCAAACGCCTCGGAGCAAGTAATGCCTGCAGGGCAATTGCAGTCTTCACGAAACAACGTGTCGCACTCGCATGCAAAGTCTCGCATGGCCAGAACATGCCAGAACAATGGTCTGCCTGTCTTGGGTCCTCAGGAGGACCCTGCCCGGAACCGACACGATGCTTTCGACGGGCATGACTTTCCTGCATGGACTTTTGAATTCTTGTTTTGAAGCACGGCTAACTGACCCTTGCGACCCAGGCAGGCAGCACATAGCAAGAAATGCCAGCGCAAGCCTGAACGTCACGAAGAGCGTGGCAACGATGCAGAACGAGAGGATAGAAACGAACGCAACAATGACGAGAAAAGTGTAATTGACCTTGCAGCGCTGATCTTCAGCATAGTGCCAGGCTTCGCAAGGAACGCCTCGTCTTGCCGAGAGATGCAGCCAGGAAACCAAACAAAAGAACGGGCAACAGCACCAACAGCGAGTAACACGTGCTGACCTGCAACCTGGGTGCATGTTGCAGTGTTCGCTGGTCTCACGGAGTTGCCTGAACAGTTGAAGCTCAGGACGGCAAAGCCCTTCACGTCGGGCAGGGCGGACATACCGCTGAGCCCCAACAAGTTGTCATTCTCTGAGATCTGCAAGTTCCCTCCGACACTGAAGTCGGAGGACAAGCCACTCAAATCCCGAAGAGCTGGATTGGAAGTTACTTCAAAGTCTCCCGTCACTGCTCGGAGCTGCCCAAAGCCAGAGAGGTCCTGCAAGGCTTTGTTCTCTTGAATGTTTATGTCACCCATCCAGGCAAAGGTCTACAGCACCACGATTTTCCACAGCAAGAGGCTCAAAATGCAGAAGCTATACTGTCGGAACTATAAGCTGAATCTATACAAATCATGCAATTCGCGGCTGTGAACTCAAAATGCGTGTCTGTCCATCAACCGAATTTGTACAAATTTTCACCAAAAAAAATCTACGGGAGAGCAATCACAGCAGCAAGACGCCTTTACTGTTTCTGGCGTTGGGTGCAGCTTTGCGACTCGCATCCAGCTCCTGTCTTGCCTTCTGTAGGTCAACTGGAGACATGCATGCACCACCGCACGCAAGATTTTTGAGCGTCTCCTTCGCCTCGATCTTGTATATCTCACGAGAGATATCTCCGGCGTTCGGGAATGCCCGAGACTACCATGTCCGGATTATCCACTCGGTTGCTTGCATGCACAAATTGCTCCAAGTGTTGAGCTCTGGCAGCAGACTTGGCAGGGCACATGAACATAAGCCGATCTAATTTCAAGTTCTCGCGCAGAACGCCGTAATCTAACCCGCAAGCTAGACTCACGTCGGAATCCTGGGCCGATGTCCATTGAAGATGACCCAACCTCGATGAGGCCATGCTGAGTATTGGCATCGTCATCATGAACGAAACATCATTCCATGAATGATGCCAACAGTGCATTCGCTCATTCCGAACGTTTAATTGGCAAAAGGATTCCAGCTCATTGTGAAGATGTCGAATTGACCCTTCTATGACTGTCCTTGGACTCGGAATTGATGTGAACAATGCCTGTCTCAATAACTTCCACGGTTGTTTGTGTTTCTCCAGCGCACTAGAAGGCGCACAATGTTGTAGGATGGCCGTGGCTTGAAGACTGCTTGAAGAATATCAATGTCAGTACTGGTCTTCGGGCGTTCCCTTCGGGAATCCCGCCGGAGATAACTCGCGTGAGATATACAAGATCGAGGCGAAGGAGACGCTCAAAAATCTTGCATACCGTGGTGCATGCATGTCTCCAGCTGACCTACAGAAGGCAAGACAGGAGCTGGATACGAGCAACTCGTGATAGACGACGTACGGGGCTCATCCAGGCAGAGGCTGCAGGACTTCCGGAGACAACAGGACTGTCCATGGCACCTTTTACTCCGCTAGAGATGGCAGGACTGCCCATAGCACCTTTTCCTTTGCCATCTTGTGAACCCGGAGACGCAAGTAATCTGTTCAAGATTGGTGGTGTCTTCGGTGGCGCTGCAATCGGAGTTGACGGAAAGCTGGTAACCGGCGGACTCTGTGCTTTGTCTTCCACATGAGAGGCTGTACGTGGCACCTTAAAGAGCCTTGCAGCCTCTGGCGGCAGCATGAGTGCTATATGCTTAAGTACGTAGGACCTTTAGGTCCTATTTGGCGTAGGGCTTGCTCCGTGTCTTAATATATACTGTGTATATACGCAATTAAAAATTTAAAGAATTTAAAAAGTTTAAAGGGGGTAAATCCTTTAAATTTTGAAATCGTCCGGAATTAAAAATTTAAAGAATTTAAAAACTTTAAAGGGGGTAAATCCTTTAAATTCTGAAATCGTCCGGAATTAAAAATTTAAAGAATTTAAAAAATTTAAAGGGGGTAAATCCTTTAAATTCTTTAAATTTTGAAATCGTCCGGAATTAAAAATTTAAAGAATTTAAAGAATTTAAAGAATTTAAAAAATTTAAATCTCCAGCTCCAGCCCCAGCCCCCCAGCCTTCGACCCCAGCCCACGGGATTAAATTTTTTAAATTCTTTAAATTCTTTAAATTCTGAAATCGTCCGGAATTAAAAATTTAAAGAATCTAAAAAATTTAAAGGGGGTAAATCCTTTAAATTTTGAAATCGTCCGGAATTAAAAATTTAAAGAATTTAAAGGGGGTAAATCCTTTAAATTCTGAAATCGTCCGGAATTAAACATTTAAAGAATTTAAAAAATTTAAAGGGGGTAAATCCTTTAAATTCTTTAAATTTTGAAATCGTCCGGAATTAAAAATTTAAAGAATTTAAAGAATTTAAAGAATTTAAAAAATTTAAATCTCCAGCTCCAGCCCCAGCCCCCCAGCCTTCGACCCCAGCCCACGGGATTAAATTTTTCAAATTCTTTAAATTCTTTAAATTCTGAAATCGTCCGGAATTAAAAATTTAAAGAATTTAAAAAATTTAAAGGGGGTAAATCCTTTAAATTCTGAAATCGTCCGGAATTAAAAATTTAAAGAATTTTAAAAAATTAAAGGGAGTAAATCTTTTAAGTTCTTTAAATTTTGAAATCGTCCGGAATTAAAAATTTAAAGAATTTAAAGAATCTTAAAAATTTAAATGTCCAGCTCCAGCTCCAGCCCCAGCCCCCCAGCCTCCGATCCCAGCCCACGGAATTAAATTTTTTAAATTCTTTAAATTCTTTAAATTTTGAAATCGTCCGGAATCAAAAATTTAAAGAATTTAAAAAATTTAAAGGGAGTAAATCCTTTAAATTCTTTAAATTTTGAAATCGTCCGGAATTAAAAATTTAAAGAATTTAAAGAATTTAAAGAATTTTAAAAATTTAAATGTCCAGCTCCAGCTCCAGCCCCAGCCCCCCAGCCTCCGACCCCAGCCCACGGAATTAAATTTTTTAAATTCTTTAAATTCTTTAAATTTTGAAATCGTCCGGAATTAAAAATTTAAAGAATTTAAAAAATTTAAAGGGAGTAAATCCTTTAAATTCTGAAATCGTCCGGAATTAAAAATTTAATGAATTTAAAAAATTTAAAGGGGGTAAATCTTTTAAATTCTGAAATCGTCCGGAATTAAAAATTTAAAGAATTTAAAAAAATTAAAGGGTGTAAATCCTTTAAATTCTTTAAATTTTGAAATCGTCCGGAATTAAAAATTTAAAGAATTTAAAGAATTTAAAGAATTTTAAAAATTTAAATCTTCAGCTCCAGCCCCAGCCCCAGCCCCCCAGCCTCCGACCCCAGCCCCAGCCCCCAGCCTCCGACCCCACAGCCCCCAGCCCCGAGCCCCCCAGCCCCGCCCCCCCGCCCCCACCCCGCCAGGGCCTGCGCCTGCCCCCAGCCTCCAGCCCAGCTGCCTTTTCGCCCACCCCCCCAGCCTCAGCCCCAGCCCCTAGGCAGCCTCACCCAGCCCCCAAGGGGCGTTTATGGGGCAAAACCAAGCTTTGCAGCCCTGCCCAACCCCAGCCCAAGCCCGAGGGAGGGCCCCAGCCCCCGGCGACACCCCTTGCGATTTGATTTTGGAACCTATTGGTTGAAAAAACCTTTAGGCTAGTAATGGAGTTCTTACAAAACCTAAGTTAGGGGGACACCCCTTGCGATTCGTGTTTTTGAAACATATTTATTACACAAACCCTTAGGGTGACACCCCTTGCGATCCATGGTTTTCGGATCTGAGTTACAGGTGTTTTGCTGGACCACAGGTCACTTCCGCCAGATTTTGCCAGCAGATGTGTGAAATCCCTAGCCCTTGTTTTCATGCGGTATTTACAGGTGTTTTGCTGGACCACAGGTCACTTCCGCCAGATTTTGCCAGCAGATGTGTGAAATCCCTAGCCCTTGTTTTCATGCGGTACTTACAGGTGTTTTGCTGGACCACAGGTCACTTCCGCCAGATTTTGCCAGCAGATGTGTGAAATCCCTAGCCCTTGTTTTCATGCGGTATTTACAGGTGTTTTGCTGGACCACAGGTCACTTCCGCCAGATTTTGCCAGCAGATGTGTGAAATCCCTAGCCCTTGTTTTCATGCGGTATTTACAGGTGTTTTGCTGGACCACAGGTCACTTCCGCCAGATTTTGCCAGCAGATGTGTGAAATCCCTGGCCCTTGTTTTAACTCGGTATTTACAGGACCACAGGTCACTTCCGCCAGATTTTGCCAGCAGATGTGTGAAATCCCTAGCCCTTGTTTTCATGCGGTACTTACAGGTGTTTTGCTGGACCACAGGTCACTTCCGCCAGATTTTGCCAGCAGATGTGTGAAATCCCTAGCCCTTGTTTTCATGCGGTATTTACAGGTGTTTTGCTGGACCACAGGTCACTTCCGCCAGATTTTGCCAGCAGATGTGTGAAATCCCTAGCCCTTGTTTTCATGCGGTATTTACAGGTGTTTTGCTGGACCACAGGTCACTTCCGCCAGATTTTGCCAGCAGATGTGTGAAATCCCTAGCCCTTGTTTTAGCGCAGTATTTACAGGTGTTTTGCTGGACCACAGGTCACTTCCGCCAGATTTTGCCAGCAGATGTGTGAAATCCCTAGTCCTTGTTTTCATGCGGTATTTACAGGTGTTTTGCTGGACCACAGGTCACTTCCGCCAGATTTTGCCAGCAGATGTGTGAAATCCCTATCCCTTGTTTTCATGCGGTATTTACAGGTGTTTTGCTGGACCACAGGTCACTTCCGCCAGATTTTGCCAGCAGATGTGTGAAATCCCTAGCCCTTGTTATAGCGCGATATTTACATGCTTTCTGCTCGGTCGCAGCTCGGGCAGGGAAGGCTGGGCGTGCGGAAGCAGGCAGCCGTGCCCACCCACCCCGTCCCATCCCACCACACACCTCACTCCACCCCTCCCTCTTTATCATCCACCTCATCATCTTCACTATCTTCCTCCTCCTCATCCTCCCATACCCCTCCCTCCCTCTCCCTATCCCTCCCACTACCCCCTCCCCTCACCTTCCTCACTCTCCCCCACCTCCACTCCCTCAACCTCTCCTCTTCCCCTTTCTCTCTCCTGGAATCTCCACCCTCCCCCACCCTCCCTTCTCTCCTTCTTAAATATCCCCCTAAGGTTTTGTGAAAACTCAGATCCCAAAACCACAGATCTTAAGGGGTGTCCCCCTAAAGGTTTTCATGACAAGTAAGTGCAAAAAGCACAAATCGCAAGGGGT